GCCTTTTCAGAATATGACTTGAATTTTGGCAGCACTTTACTAAAAAATACTGCTGCAACCATCTTTCAATTACCTTTAGCAATTTTTACTTGTTTGTAATATTAATGATATTTGGTTATTTCCACATTTTGTAGGTCATCTTTCTTTGGAATAGGCACAAGTTTGGATGTCTTTTATTTCTGTTGATTGGATGTTAATGCTGTTGTTGGATGCCATTGAGTCAGTACCAACTCATTGTAAGCCTATGCACATCAGAAAGAAGCACTGCCCAGTCATATGCCAACCTTACAATCATTGTTGCGTTTAAACACATTGCTCCTGCTTCTGAACCAATCCATCTCATTGGGCATCTTCCTCTTTATCTCTGACCCCCCACTTTACCAAGTATAATGTCCTTCTCTAGGGACAGGTCCTTCCTTATAATATGTCCAAAGTATGAAAGATGAAGTCTGGCCATCCTGACTTCCAAGGATCATTCTTGCTGTACTTCCTCCAACATAGATTTCTTTGTTCTTTTGTTTTTTATCAGTTCATAGTACTTTTGATATTCTCCTGCAACACCATAACTCGAATGGATCAGCTCTTCTTTGGTCTTCCTTATTCACCGTCCACCTTTCACATGCATAGGAGGACATTGAAAAAATATTGTTTGGATCTGGTGCACCTTAGTCTTCAAACTGACATCTTTGCTCTTGAACACTTTAAAGAGGTCTTGTATAGCAGATTTGCCTAATGCAATACATTGTTTGATTTCTTGACTGCTGCTTCCATGAGTGTTGATGGTTGATCCAAGCAAAATGAGGTGTTTGACAATTTCAATCTTTTCTCCATTTATCTTAATGCTCTGTCTTGTTCCAGTTGTGATAATTTTTGTTTTCTTTACATTGAGGTGAAATCCATTATGAAGGCTGTGGTCCTTGATTTTAATCAATATTTTAAGTCTTCTATGCTTTCAGCAAGCAGAGTTGTATCATCTGTAAATTGCAGGTTGTTAATGAATCTTCCTCCAATCCTAATGCCATGTTCTCATATAATCCAACTTCTCAGATGATATGGACACCCTACAGATTGAGTAAGTATGGTGAAAGAATACAATCCTGGAACATACACGTTATCTAATTTTAAACCATGCAATGTTCCCTTGTTTTGTTT